GTTCTTTACAGTGTGTGAACAGATCAGAAAGTGGCATGCTTTCCTCCAGGTCAGTTTCCAAATGTCTGTCTGGTGTATGGTGACAAGTGACAATGCACTGTAGCAGGTGCTTTCCTTCATGTCAGATGATAAGCTAAGGTCTTCACTGCCCCGGCAGGCAAGATACTGGTATAGTACGTAAGAGTAGGGGTGTTGGCTGTTATGTTGCAGCCGCTGCTGCACAGAGCTGCAGGGGGCTGACAGGTCGAGACGTCAGGGAACCCCGGGGAATCCCAGAGAGACGGGCAGGAGGAGAAGTGGTGAGCAGGCAGGCTCAGCTAGGTGAACGAAGGCTGGGGAGACCTTCATCGGGATATAACAGGCAGCTGAACAGGCTAGTTCTGTTTTGGATCCGGGGGAGGAACGGGATCCCAAGGTACCAGTTAGCGGAATTCAAGATGAAGGAGAGTCCCTGCTGGATCACTGCTCAGAGGGTTAGCCGGAGTACGTTAGCAGTAGCTTAACATGCTTAGCTCTAATGTCAGAGTACTGGCCCAGCAGAGAGTCCAGCCTTAACTAGCCTGCCTGGTGCGATGATTGCTCGTTGGATCAACTTCCTGATTGAAAGGTAACGGGCCTAATTGCTAAGGGTCTTGACCTAGTTCGCACACAGCTGGCGGAGGGGCGACTCCCCGTGCGAATGTGCCCCTAGGGACACAGGGACACGAGCCACCCCCAGCACGGGTGTGACATCAACCTTGGGGTCCTGGCTAAATCCAGGGTTTTGGGTTTGCACAATTTTGCCTCCCTGAATTCCCCTTTAATTCAAAACGGTCAAGTCATTTCTCAGTCCTGCACCTGATCTGCTGCGCAGGGGAGCTGCTGGCACAGAATGATGGCTGTGCTACAACATGAATGCCTTCTTATTTGCAAAGCGCTTTGGGATGCTTAGAAAGGAAAAGCACTACACCAATGCAATTAGGCACTGTTGTTACTGTTCTTACAACTTCCTGATAACCATTCTAAATCACGTTTGACAAAGGCTCTCAGGCACAACTGATCCAAGGCAAGGGGAAGGGTGAGCATTCATTTCTGCAATTTCACTGACTTATACAGTAGGTCTGAGAAACACTTTCCTGAATTCACCAAGTGCTTGTGTTTGCTTTAATCATCTCCATAGAGACAACATGTTTTGACCTTTCTAAAGCACAGACCTCTGCGGTAATGAAAAGGAGAACAGATAAACCACCCAGCCCCCATTTCACACATAAACTATAGTTTTTGGCTTAGCATTTTTTTAATTATTATTCAAGAATGCCTTCTGAATAGGTATAGTCCATTCTGCTTATTTCATATAATTTTAATGTTGTATGTTTTAGTCCGCTTATTTTAAGCAATCCGGTACTTCACTTGATGATAAAACTGACAAGCTGTGCTGTTTTATTTTTAGGGAAGCTCGAATGAAAGTGTTACTACTAAAAGACTTCACAGGCAAAGCCAGAAAGAGTTTTCCGCTACAGGGAAGGGGAGTTTTCATGTCATCATGTATGTATATACCTCCCCCCTGATTATTTGCATCACAGATAATCAGGACGAATGCCTTTTAGCTGGGCCACAAACAGCCTTCAGAAACGTAATTACTTGCCTAACTGATCGATAACTTCCAAAGGATTCCCTGTGTTGAAAACGAGGTAACTTAGTGCTGTCTGTAAGACTTGGCGGATTGGGGCTCTCCGAGATGTGGTATGGACAGACTTGAGGGTTTTTACAGTGCGCTGAGCGACAGCGACCCCTTGTGTACTTTTAGTGCAGTTCATTTGCCGAGAACCACAGTACCTCAGTTCTCACAATGGGCATTAACGTCCCTGCATACACTAGCCACAAGATAAGGTCGCTTTGTTAGCCATATACAATTTCTTGCATTAGAAAGTTGCCTTTACGCATACCCCAGCTTGCTCTCCATGAGACACACAGAGTTAGTACTGCGGGTGTTCTGTGTACTTAAGCAACCCCAGAATTTTGTTTTTGTTCAAGTGGGGGGTGGTCAATGCATTTAACCGCATTTAATGATGATTAAGCCCCTATCGGAGGTCTCGGTCACCTTTTCGGACTGTTAATTATGAGTCTGTTTTTTTTTTACCGACTTACCAGCGACTAATAAGCAACTGACCCGTAACTTACGCTTTTGATTTGGGTTGGAAAAGGTCTGTAGTGGACGGCCGCTACCAACGTACCGATCTAATGTGACCCACTTATTTCAGAAATTGATCCATGACTGGTTAAAAACCTTACCCAACACAAAACTCGAACACCCACACATCTGCAGTAAATTTTACTTCCGACAGTGACAGAACGCGACCTTTCAGTGAATGAATTAAGAAGACAGAGCCGGTCGGTTCTGACTGATTAATTTCTTCAATTTCGAGCCGAGAAGCGTGGGTAGGCAGAAAGGAAGTTCACTGTCGAGATGAGTTTCGCTAAAACATACTTCCGCAAAGAAACGCCCTGAATGAAACGAAATCATGAATGAAGTTGTCAGCTGATGACTGAACACCAATGTAAGAGTTGAGAAGTCATGGTATGCGCTGATCCGTATCTGAGGTAAATGAGTTTTCTGATTCAAAGATGTACTGGCTTAACACAAACAGGGAACATGTCTGAGCATTAGGAAACTTAACATGCCTGCAAACAGAGCTTGGGTTCGTTCACAACAAGAGAAATGTTCAATTAAAACATTTCCTTAATTTGCAAAGTGACCGACACGTATCTTCGGTACAGACCTGGGACTTGGTAAAAGTCCTGTGATACGCCAGCGTTTTCAAAACAATCTTTTAAGCGGCTTAATAAGTTAGAACAGAATTAAAGTCAGACACATTTAAATATATATACGCATTCCAGTGCAATTAAAATATCTTAAAAGCCTAATGTCGTTTTGTGGTCAGAAATAAGAAACTACAGTGAAATAAATCAAACCTGTTTGTACGAGGGTTTGCTCTGAAGGAACAGAGCAGGCGAGACCATTCGAAGCGACAGCATTGATGTTATAGCCTCATACAGCCACTGGAGGTCGCTGTTTCACAGCGAAATAGCTGGTCTAAACCAGGGCTGATCATCCTCGGTATTAGAGGAACACTTCAGTTAAGTTTCGTTAGTTCTTGAGTGCCTTCAATGTAATTCGAAACGTACTTATTTAGACTTATAGTTACCATGTTTCTGCATTCAGTGCTGAGTTTCTCAAAAATAACAACTTTAAGGGTAATGTTTTCAACTATTTCAGCTACAGTATTTCACTATTTCGTCTCCTATGCCATTAAAGACTACTTTCAGTAAGGGTATGAGCCTTATGTGATGAAGATCAACAGCAAAACTCTTAAAAAGTTACTTTTCCATTTGTACATTTTGTGAGTATCTGAAATGTAAATTTAGTGGCTTTGCAGCTTTTTGATATAACTTATTCAAAAAGTAAAAGGGACAGAAATCAGAAGATGATTTGTTATTCCTCAATTTGACCTCAGGGCATCTATTTCAAAACTTTGCATGACATACAGTACAGAGCCACAATCCACCCAGAATTTGAACCCACAAGCCTCTGGGCTGGAATCCACTGACTTATTGATGAACTGATTGATTGACAAAGCTAAGAAGCATCAGTCCTTATTATGGAAGACGTGCATTCTGTGAAGGTTTTACATGTTAAATCTTACATCAGTATGATTTAATGAGGCTTTGAGAAATGATCAGAATAATCAAGTTAAAAACACTTGGATAGCGCCTAACATGGTTGTCATTCTGAGGGAACAGAGTCAGATGTCCACCGCCTAAAGTACTGCTAACATAAGTGGAGCTGATGACTATTTATCCTTTGAAGGAGTTAGTGGAATGGGACAGATGCCACATAAGAGAATTGGTTCATTATCATGCTCATCAAGGTAATGTGGAGGGGGTGATTAAGGGTCAACGACGTTCTTGAACACATCTTGTCTGTGTGGCTGGAGGTGAGCTCCAGGACAGCCTAAGTGACTGACTGAGCAAAAGCGATCACCTCCGCATTCTTGTGCAGGTGAGCAGAGCAGCTGTGAGGAAGGAGACGGAGGCTTTCCATCACCGAAGAACCACATTCCGAGCTTGTTTTGGCCTGCTCTTCCATTCCATCTAAACCAGCTCTTTCTAGAGAACTGTAACACACACATTCTCCCCTCTCCACCCAAACTGTGAAATAAAACCTGAATCAGCTGGTTGTAGCTGTCCTCTTTTTTTTGTTTGGCGTTTTGATGATTATTTCTGGCAACATAATTAGGAATGACCAGCTTTCTTCAAAAAGCACGCCAGACAGGCAAGCAAGTGGGTACAATGGATACTCTCTCTCTACAGCATCCATGCCAAATCAGAAAGGGGGGCATGTCTCTCAGAGCACCCCGCGTTCAGAGCAGGCAATTGTGAAACTGTACCCCCTTGTTAACTGTGTGAAAAAAAGACAAGGTGTCTGTCTGAAAAATAGCTTAATTCTTTACTGTGCTGCTCCTTCTAAAAAAAAATTTGGGTGGTTCTGTCAGGAGAGATCCTACATCACACACACAAAAACAAAATACCAGTTTGACAGGAACTACCTGTGGAAATCTTTTGTTTTTAAGCACAGACAGTGTCTCTTTCCTTATAACTTCACTTCCAGTTTCCTTGTCACCTGTTGAACTTCCCGTGATCTGTCTTAGGTTGTGTTAAAGATTTCCCAACAGTTATAATCCTAAAACTCAAATGTCGGATCAGAAGATATGAAAGGGTACAAACAAGAAGAGGCGATTTGGCTCACTACAAGAACAACAGCAAAATCTGAAAACATGAGTGTCACTGGATTTGCATTGCTACGGGATAAATAAAGGAACACCCAGAAATAAAGCTGTGAAGCTTTTTTTTTGCATTTTAACTGACATAGTAATAGTGCCTTGTTTCGTAAGGGGGTGGGGCTGAACAAGGTATTTGCTATAAGAATATGCGTTTGTACTGTCTGTGTCAGAGGAACTGGCGTGACAGCAGAGGGTACAGAGTGAGGCACATGCAGTATAGTCGATGGACACAGGTAAAGATCTTCCTCACTTGCCGACACAACATTCCATCGGGCACAAGGCAAAAAGGCAAATATCTGCAGCCCGTTAAAAAGAGAGAGAAATTATTTTAAAACATTTTAAAGCTATACAAGCTCTCTCTGGTCTCTGGAGATAACAAATAACAAAGCACATAAGGACAGTCAAACCTGTATTAACCTAATCCAAGCCTGTTTTTGACCACCGGAACTGACTGAATTACTCAAAAGATCATGAAGAATGTTGTTTCTGCAGATGAGTTTCATTCCCTTTGTAGCACAGTGATGTGGAGCTTTTAAAAAAGTAAAAATAGGCCAACATGTACTGGTAAATATCTCATAAAGGAAAACATAAATGCATATTTAAGAAAAGTGGAAAATTGCAAGTTCTTCGCCTGCTAATGCACAGGACAGCTATGGAGAATCTATGTCACTGTTTCTTTCTCATTATACAATGCAGATTATACATTTCATTGTATAATTTTTCTTGCGATATTCATTATGTTGTCAAACATTTATCATTTTTTATTGTTAGTGGGAATTTTGTTTTGATTTGGTTTCTGAGAGCTACAACAATGTGCTCATTGTAGCCTGTACAAGATTGAAGTGAATAATCACTAGGCATTTTGTGGGAACAGGAGTAATGAAATTATAATTTTATGCAACTAAATAAGTACTAGATTATTTTAGTAAAACCTTGAATATTGTATGTTAGCCTAGTCAAAAGTATATCCCAAAACTAATAATACAGTAAAACATTCATTGAAAAAAATACTTCTGTATATATTATTTTTTTATTTCTTATTCAAAAATGAATGCTTGAAGACTGAATGCTTGGTTTCACATATGCATATCGACTCTGACATGCCTAAATGTTGCAGAGAAAAAAGAGGTGTAATTATCTCAAAGGAAAATGCTTGCCTGAACCTGATTGTTTTTTTCATTTGCCAAACCATCTTCTTCATTCTTCTTACCAAATGCTGCCTTTTGTGGTTTCAAAATATTTGCTTTTCTCTTGTCAGGTGGGAGGATAACAGTGTGTGCAAATGCATTTTTCCAACTTTTGATTTCTCATATGCAGATCAAATTTCAAAAATAGTTTTTATTATTTCCTGGGAGCCAACAAAAAAGGGGTGAAAGGGGACTAGATAAACGTGCTTTTAAAGCTAATCAGGCTGGAATGAAAACAAAATTCATCATCTTAACTTTCATTTTCATTCCAGCTGTACCAGCTGGTGCGGTTTATGTGAGCCATTACCTGGACTAACGCTTGGATTAATCTGATCTTTTTTTAGTTGCTTTCCATTTAGTAAAAGCAATTCTGTCAACTTACAAATTCCTGTCAATAAACCGAAACCTCCGACAGTTCCAGAAGTGAAAACAGATCAAACCCGTCTAATTTGTAATTGATAACTTAGTTTGATTAAAATAATCAATAGTTTACTTGGAAGTTTTTTTTTTTTCATTTGAAGCTGTGAAAAATATTATAGTACTTGTTGTGCTCTATGTACATTCATAGGTTCAGACTGTGAGGCTGTACACAGGACCATACATACTTTCTGCTAAATATATTAGGAACCTCCGGGCACATGAACAGACTCTCTCAGTGAAGGACCATGCGTAGATGGTTTGAGACAGGCTTCCATAACCTTCCCAGACTGAAACGATTCCCAGAACTCGATCAGAATGAATCAGTGGGCAACTCAGTCCCACGCATCATATAACCTGAACAGAAATGTTCAGAACCTGAATAAAGAAATGGCATCCTGTTAGAAGAATTGGGGTAGGATCGGACATTCTGTTCAAGACTTTTCTGTTGCTTGCTGAGGTGCCACGCATCATATTCAGAGGGGTTTCAGAGGGTTTGGCTGTCGAGTACAATGGAAGGATACTTAATGATATTTATCCATCATTTATCCTGGTGTGGGTTGTGGGGAGGCAGAGATCATGTGCCTGCTGTCCCCCTGCTGAGATCTTGCTCCACTGCTGTAAGGCCTTTCAGTGGATTAATCAAGAGCAGGTCCCAGACGAACCCGTTCCCTCCTCCTTCCTAAATCGAACTGTCCATCCATTTCCTTCCAAATCAGGGGTGCGGGGGAGTCCCGGCAAACAGCAGATACGAGGGGGGGGTACATCCTGGGCGGGACGCCAGTCCATCCCGGGGGCCAAAATTGAACGGCTGAACCCGTTAATGGCCATGGCCCTCCAAGAGCAGGACTTCCCCTCTGTTCTTCCTTCGTAGGTTTCAAGATGGACGCCTCCCTGAGTACCATCGGCCAAGGCTGTTTCGGAAAAGTCTACAAAAGGACGTACAAGGGAAAGCTCGCGGCAATCAAGAGAGTGCCTGAAGAGCGCCTGCAGGAGAGGAGCCTGGACAGAGAATGTAGAATTTACCAGTGAGTTTGGTTCATTCAGACAGGGGGCCCACTTTCAGTGACTCGTCATCTTCACTGGCAAAACTGTGGACAGTCCACATTATTTTCACCTGATGACCGCAGTGGAGCTGAATAATCTTTATCTGACGGACACTTAAAGCTTGGCTTATTAATACTGCTCCTGCTCCTGCTCCCACTGCTAGGGCAGCGTGGGGGAGCATGTGGTTAGCATTGATTCCCTCGCAGGGCTGGGGCCCTGGGCTCAACTCTGGAACTGAGGGGCTGTCTGTGTGGAGTTTGCATGTTGTGTTTATGTGGGTTTCCTCCAGGTGCTTTGGTTTCCATCCCACAGTCCAAGGCCATGCTGGTAGGCTGATTGTTTTTTTAGAAAATGTGTGTACCCTGGTGTGAGCGTGTGTTCGTGTTTACTACTAATAATAGGAAGACCTGAATATGTCCACTCCATCTCCAGACATTTTTATATTAGTGGTTTTTTCCACGATGTACAGCATCCTTGGGTTTTGAAATGACCTTTTTGTTACATTTGCATTTTTAAACCATCAAAGATGTTTAAAAAAACATCAACAATTATTATTTTAACTTGGAAAGTAGATAATACTTGTTTTATATACAGTGCTATCCCCTTTCAACATGAGCCCATTATAGTGGTCAAAACACAGCAAGATCAAGGCTTCCGTTTTCCACATGAAGCAGATGGACCGAACCAGAACTGTCCAAATAAAGAGCACGACTCGCAAGCGAAATCTGAAAATGAAAGTCTTTCTAAATTCAGGTGAATTGAGGTGTGGTGGGCAAGGTGAGAAAGAATGAAACTAGAGCAGCATTTTTGAAAGAGTCTGTGAGACGTGGATGGTTTAAAAACAAGCCAGACAAGCAAGACGAGTCCATAGTGGCTTTTTCAGGGGGAAAACCAGACCAGAAAAGGCTGTTTTGTAAGCGTCATCAGTTCCTGCCTAGATAAACTAGATAAAACAAAACAAAAATGAAAAGGCACTGATTCTAATCTTCAATATGTTAAGAACAGGTATGAGCTCAAAGCTGTTAAAGAGCTGTAAAATCCTATTTAAACAAAAGATGCTCAACTGTTAGAAAAGTGGTTTTGATTTTATGAAGTCTATTAATTTTACGAATGGGCATTTTAAATCATTTCAGGGACAGAATCGAGCCAGCTCATTATAATGGGTGATAAAATGGGATGCCATTTTCCCACTTACTGAGCTGCAGAGAGTTAAATGAAGCGCACAGCTTGCAGAGAGTGATATCACCCGAGGAGTGGCCCGCAAACAAAAAGCTCAGGACCTTCACACTCGTACATTTGTGCTACGTGCCAACAAAACACAAGCGACTCGGCCTTTTTCTCTGTTCAAGAAGAGTTGCAATCAAGGGGAGGCCATTTGAAACCACTTGGTAGTGAGTAATTATCTGACCCCAGGATCTCATCCAGCTGTTCCTTGAAAGAAGCCCAGGGTATCGTCTTCAGAAACAAGGGTTCTTCATTTACCCTATGTTCCCGATATGCTTTGAGTACAGGCGTGCCTCCTGTTCTCAGATTTGAATGCAGTTCCCTTAGTTTCCACGCGTGACTGCTGGTTCAAGATTCACCAGTCAATTCCGGAGAAGTCCCCTGGGTTGTCTTTGTCGGTTCCTTTCAGGATCTCGAATTCTTGTGTCCGGTGTCCTTGTAATCTTCTCTGTTCGAGACTAAAACAGTCCAGTTCCGTCATCCTCTTGGTACAGTACTTTCCCTTCAGCTCTGAAATATCTCTATTGACCTTTGACAGACAGATGAATCATCCCAATATCGTGAAGCTCCTAGATTCACCCTGGAGGGAAGATGGCAAGTGGCACTTCCCACTGGAGTTTATCACTGGAGAAGAGCTGGAGATTGCCCTCTTCCAGAGAAGGAATTCCAAAATCCAGGTAATCCGTTGATTAAATACATTTACAATGCTGTTAGGGATCAAACCTTCAAGTACAATTGATATGTAGCAGAGGATTGGCACCTCTCAGCAGGATGGGTATACAGTATGACAAAAGCACTGCTGATTGAAATCATATCCCTGCTGCTAAGAAATCAGCTTAGTTGCCACACATCACATCATCATGGGGGCTCGGCTCTGTCTTGCAAAGCTCACCTGGAAAAAGTCAGACCATCAGCTCAGATCCATTTGGAGAGTTACAGATGGAAACACAGAGAAGAGGCATTTAGTAAAGATTCACTAAAGATCACAGATGCACTTCTTTATGACATCATGCAACACCATTACAAGCACGCCAATGAATCTGTGTGGAATGTTGCTAGAGCTGGCTGTGGGCTATATACTGTATATATAACATTACTTTATTAACCCTTTACAATTTCTTGCATTAGGAATTATCTTTTTGCATACCCCAGCTTGCTCTCCATGAGACACACTGACAGGGAGAGAGCCTGGGGTCAGAGCGCAGGGTCTGCCATAGTACAGCGCCCCTGGAGCAGTTAGGGTTAAGGTCCTTGCTCAGGAGCCCAACGGAGTAGGATTCCTCTGCCGGCTGCGGGATTTGAACCGGCAACCTTCTAGCCACAGGCGCAGATCCTGAGCCACAGAGCCACCGCTCTGACCCAAACCGTAGGCTGTACCAGTAGGAGAGCTTTGACCTGCTGCACTGTTAAGGATCTTGTAGGCTAAGCTTGGGTTGGTCATGTCACCCACTGATGCCCACCATCTGTTTCGCCCCATCGCAGCTGACCATGCCCATCAAGGCCACCATCATCACGGGCATGTGCCAGGGTCTGCACTACCTCCACCAGAAGAGGATCGTCCACCAGGACCTCAAGCCAGACAACATCATGGTAAATGAGAGCGTCCCAGCGGGGCAGAATTAGACCAAGTCGGGGGCCTTATCTAAAGCAGAAAGCCCTGTCTCCCCAATTCTGAGAGCCTGAAATCCAGCAGGTTTACGAAATCTCTTTGAAATTTCGGTAGTGCACAAATACCTGGGTCCAATTCAAAGACACTGCGAGACACACAAACTATTGTGCCTTGAGGAGTATTGAGAAGAGAGTAATAATAATAATAATAATAATAATTTAATAATTGCTTACACTTATATAGCGCTTTTTCTGGACACTCCACTCAAAGCACTTTACTGGTAATGGGGATCCCCTCCACCGCCAATGTGCAGCATCCACCTGGATCCACCTGGAGAGTAGTTTCGGTCAACAGAGCAATCTTCTTCAAGTGTTAAGTTGTCGGTGCTCTCAGAGCCCATTTAAACCTGCTGGATTGTTGCTCTCGAGGATGCCGATTAAGGACTTTTTATAAAGAATAAACTTTAGGTGGCTTACCAAACTGTGGTAATAATATTCTCCAAGGACATGGAATACATGTCACATCCTGTTTAAGTTGTTTTGGCTGAGCTCATCCAGGCCCAGGATGGTTGGTGCAGGTTCCTAATATTTTGGCCAATACATTCAGTTCAGTGCACAAGTGCAATGCAATGCTTATAGGTATGAATACGTACAGAAATGCATTAATACATTCCGGTGCTGCACAGGGCAGGAAAAACCAGGTCCCCTTTGTCTTTCAGGTGGAGTACGACACGTACCGCCCGGTGCTGATCGACTTCGGGGTCGCCAAGATCATTTACTGCGGGGGCATATCGACCGCCCCCAACATCGGTAACGAGGCCTACGCCGCCCCGGAGATTTTCTCCGGCCAGCTCCGGAGCGTCAAGTCCGACGTCTGGGCGATGGGGAAGGTCGTGGCGGAGCTGCTGCTGGAGTGCCGCCTGGATCCCAGGAGGAGTCTATCGTGGAACCTGGGCGTCCGCCTGCGGGGGTCGCCGTACCTGCAGCCGCTGGACACGATGACCTCCCTCACGTGTGTGAGGCGCGCCGCGATGGCCGACGTCATCGACAGCATCGTGAAGGCGGGGGAGTCCTTCCCCTTGGGCGCAGCCCCGCACGCCGACAAGGAAGCCGAAAGCGTCGCTTCGGGAGGGGGGTTTTCTGACCCCTCCTCCCAGCACCCGACGGTCGTTGCCAGGAAGCGGGGTAGCGATTTCCCGAAGGCCAGAGAGCCGCCGGCTTACGCGCAGGCACAGCGTGCGGCTCCGGACAGGAAGGAGATCGGAATCACCAGGGGCTTGGGCCAGCTCACGCTTCTGGACAATGCACTGTCCGGCAGGGGCAGTCTGTTGGAGAAGGTCTTCTCCGAGGGGGCACAGGGCTTACTGGCGCACCCCAGCATGGAGGTCAGGAAGGAAGAACACCAGTATTTCCGCTACGTCGCTACGCAGGTGGACAGCACCACGACCAGCCAGGTGACACAGGGGCGGGTGGAGAAGTCCCAGGGGAAAGTGGTCAGTGCCGAGTTCCTAGAAAGCTCTTACAAGCACTGAAAATCAGGGGGAGCCCGAAGAGTGAGCCCTTCCCAACCCTGTCCTCCAGCATTTTGTTGTAAATGAGCTGTTAATACTTCTCTTGATCGACCTGTCCATCTCCTCCTGCCTCACCATTCTGGATGACAAAAAACACTCCTTCCCCTCCTCCTTCTTTTTACGAACGCTGTTCTGTGAAGATGCGATACTACGAAGCAGGCGAATTGTTACCCGCATTTCGGATATCGAAAGCCGACTTCGAAACTGCGCAGAAGCGATAGGGAGGAACATTTCGAAACCTCCGCCACAGAGAGTAGAGATGTCACACTCTGAACTCTGCTCATGTGGTATCGCATTCCACTCACTCGCGTGGGCGAGAACGAGTCTAGGGAGTGGCAGGAGAGACGGGTGATACTGTGCGCCTCGTGTAAGAAACGTTGTGGTTTAGACTTTATCTTGTTGCGTAAAGCTGTTAATGAAAATTGTGAGTGTGCGTCATTTTACAAAAAAGCAAATAAAGTGGACGCAGTACTGTTCTTCGATGACGTGGTATCAGTAATCGGGTTTTTATTACTGAAAACACAAACCACAGTGTGAATGATAGTTATTAGTGTTTCTTTTGTGATTTGTTGGTGGAAAAAAAGTAAAGATAGCGGTGACATCTTTGGGGGCCGAAACGGATCGTCATTCCCCCCCCCCATAAGAAATAATGAAAATGGGTTTTTATTTTCGCTATTAGCAAGGATTTCCGGCAACAAATTACGTTCGTGAAAAAAAGAGTTACGGGCGTAAATAAAAAGCAGCCTAAACGAGGCAATCGCCATTTGTAGTGAGGGTCCGGCTGGAATGAAAAGCAGAGACCTGCTTTGAGCGGAGACCTCAGCTCGTCTCCTGTCCCAGAACCCCGTGTGCTCAAATTCAAATTCCAGTTTTCCAAAAAAGGGAAAGGAAACGCACCCTCCTCTTATCTGCTGCTGGAAACCCTCTTGGAAGAGGGATTGTTGATTGTCCCAGCCCGTAAACCAGGCTCGCAGGTTTGAGTCTGGGCAGGATGGGACAGTGATCAGCGCCACACGGCCGGCAGGGGCTTGACATGCTACACCGGAGGAGAGGGCCCTCTCATAGCAGTCGAGCAAAAAACAAAACAAGTGAACAGAACGATACAGTGTGTATTTGCGATTCACGGCTATTTAGCATTCTTATGTTTAGCTTGGCTGTTCATTTCTGTGTAAATCTTACAGTAAATGAAAGATATTAAACATTTGTGTGAATATTTGAAGGTCCATGAATATGTGTCTGCCTCACTGTTGTTTTCATGTCATTTGTACTGTATTTTACCTTGACGTGGGTTGTCTTAGAAATGAGTAATTCGTTTGTGATAGGGTGTTGCTCTGGATAAGGCTAAACAAACAGGCGGAGTAAAATCTCAAATATATTAATAATAATTATAATTGCTTACAGCTATAGAGCGCTTTTCTGAACACTCCACTCAAAGTGCTTTACAGGTAATGGGGACTCCCCTCCACCACCACCAGTGTGCAGCCCCACCTGGATGATGCTATACTGAGGCATTAAGACCCACACAAACCGCAGGGTGAGCGCCCCCTACTGGTCCCACTAACACCTCTTCCAGCAGCAACCTTAGTTTTTCCCAGTAGGGAACACAGCTATACAGAGATATTCCAGTGGCCACTGTCATGATCACCGAGGATAGATTAGTACAGGAGTCCAACGTTAACACTTCCTAATGTATGGTTTTCAGAATAGCTGTGTCCATCGAGTTCATATATGTTCAAAAGCATCCTTCACAATAATAATACATTGCACATTTTCATAGATGAGTTATTATTGACCTCACCCACTTCACTCATGGTACCTCAAGTTCAAATGTTCTAGTGAATTGACCAACATTTGGGACAGATTTTGTGACAGGCGATGAAGAAGATCTCCCTTTGTTCACACCCTTTTATTCAAATACTTGTCAGGAAAAAAACGTCTTGAGCAGTTTCTGGAGGCTGTCATGAAGGAAAACAGCTCCAGCAAAAAACAGGAACGAGGCAAGGCAGTTGTTAGAGATATAATCCAGGTTTTTTTTATTGAAATCTTTCATGGATACAAAAAACAGCGGCAAACAAGTCACCGGTCTGTCATTTTATTTTTTCAAATCTGTGCAGGCAGGGCCAAGACACCATCCCCTCCCCCCGAGCGGGAGAGCGAACCCCTCGTTACGCCTCGCGCTGGAAAGGGGAGCGTGGCATCGGCTACTGCCAGAAAACAGGCACTGCATAGGCACCTAAAAACAAGCCCCCCCCCCCGGTCGAGCCCGACAATTAAAACAAAAGGCGGATTAAAGACCTCATAAGGGGCGTGCAGTTCCCAACAAGAGGACCTTAAAATATTCTTCTTTTAAAAAGGAGTTATATAAAGAACCAACCGCTTAAGAAAAATCACTCTTTAATCCCCCACCCCCCCCAAGACACACATACATATACAATCTCAATCCTTAAAGCAATAAAATATCTGACATGGGCTCTACTGTTTTAGGATAAACCCACTGCCAGCAGATCTTTGTTGTGATTATAATGGATCCATAGTCCTACTTTGCCTTCTTCATTACCGATTGGTAGCTACTCCATAGGGTGTCTGTCAGGGCTGATGAGGCTATGGGCTGATCTAGCAGCTGGTAAAATAGGCTCTCCCAGCTTCACAACAGTCGCCACATTAAGGAAAGCGGTATTTATTCACCTGGGACCAGAGCACAGCTCCTGGTACGAAAGGAACAGCAGTGGACCGTGACTGTGGTGGGCCCAGTGGTGATGCACCAGTGGCGGGGAGTGGGGTTAGTCAGCCACCCCGCCCCCGCGGTCTCCCCCCTGCAGGTCCCCCGAGATGCGCGTGACCCGGAGCGCCTCTTCCCAAATCACTGCTCGCTCGCGCTTCTGGGGGGGGGACCTCTTCCTCCTCACCCCATCAAGAAGAAGAGGGAATCGAGAGGCTAAGAGGCACAAGCCATGGCAGGCTGGGTGCACAGCACGTGGGACGGACACCAGATTGTCATGGAACATGTGAGGGAAGGCAGTGTCTAATTCTTGAGCCGGGGTTTTCAACCAGAGCCGCATTTTTGAAAGACTTCCTCTTCTGTTCCCACTGATGCCCAGCGACGTAACCCAGAGACTTCACAATGCCAACTGGAAATCAGCCAGTTCGTTCCCTGAACTCGCACTTAGTGCCGCCCTCCCTGCTGCAGCAGAAGAGCAAAAACATCTAGAGATGTGGCTGCCGTTATTTCTCCATATTGTGAAGTAAACAGAATTCTATTTCACTTCATAACACACCCGGTAAAAATATTCAGACAGAACTACTGAAAGAAGCATCATGACAAACCAATCCGATGAACATAAGACAGAAACAGGACCTCTTTCCTGAGTGTGGTTATCCGAGTCCTAGCAACTGGCTGCATGATAAAGATCTGAAAAATGATTACTTCCCCCGCACAGAGTTTATCAGCTCATTTGAAGCAGTGGAGATCTTAAAAGCCTCAATAGATGAATAGCTGCTGATTGGCTCAAAAATCAGATATTGTAAGACTTTGTACGGGGCCAAAGATTGAAATGGGGAAAATAAGGATCCCTGTTCAAGGATCTGGCTCTGCAATTGAGCTTCCAGACCACATTTCAGCTCCCAAAAGACCAGGACAGAGAGATACTGAGGCCAAAACCATCACCAGAACGAACTATTCAAACTGCACAAGAATATCAAGGGGAACTAAATGACAATAATTTGCACAGAACCAAGAGCAGTGCTTCTGGAGATATCAAGTTTAGAGACTACGTTTCAATCAGCAAGTGTGCAACTGGAAGCGTCTGAAAGGCTATGTGCTGAGTCTTCCATGCACATAGGCTTAGGAAAGGAGTTCACGGTAGTTTTCTTTAGATACCACCGATTCTGGCAGATTGAGCAATGCCAATAGAGCAAGCTGGGTTTGGTCCAGTAATTCCTACACCCTTTTCCCACTGCACCAGAAACAGAAGTTCATCTCACCTTGCACACCAGACTTTTAATATATTAAGGAGTTTGCTATCCAGCCTGACAAGCCTCTGATAAGAGAGACTTTGGGTAGGTACAGATGTAACTAAAATCCAACAATATCCCGCGCCAAACGGAAAACAAGCGACAATTCGTTAGGCTGCAGGCAAAAGGGGAACGGGATCAGAATGGTAAAAAACGTGGTAAAGAAAGGAAAGGATGAATTTGGAGATTTGGAAACTAACTAGCTGGAAAGAGTGAATCCTGGAATGATTAAACACTTGACCTATGACATCACAGAATATGATTCAATCAGGCCCAGCGATTAGGGAAGACAGGCACATATACACAAGGTTGCCAGTTTCATAAAAATCCTTAGGTTAAACTCCCACCTTAGTTCTCCCCGTATTACGCATTCCTTGAGTTTTTAAGATTGTTGCTGCACAAAGAGTTTAAAGTTTCCAAAGTTAAAATCTACCTAAGAGTCCTGCTGCTCTAATACAACACCAGGTATAAAGAAAAGACAAAAATGTTCCTTCTCGTCTTAAATGATCCAGTTCTAACTGGGGAAAAAGCAGCCGTGCTCCCAAACCTGTACTGTAGTGTGTAAACATGAGTGAAAAGAAAGTATTCAAAATTAAAACAAGTCTGTGAAATGGAAACGGCTCATGTGCTCACAAGGTTGCAGAGCGCCAAAGGGTAGTGTCATTTCTAGCAGAAATACGTGGCTCTTAAAACGACCAACACCACACAGCAGCTTCCGATTCTCTTGTTTTTAAGGCCCCTCCGATCTATACAGATCTCGGCAAGAGAAGGAATAGGACAAGAGATGTACTTGGTCTGGGATTCGAGTCTGAGCCTGTTCGTGTCAGACACTGACCTTCTGCAAGGGCTCAGGAGCACCTCCTTTGCTGTGATTGTTTCATGAGCCATAAAAAAGGACTAGATCTTTTAAATTCAATTCCGTGGCTAACAGATTAGATATCCAAGCATTGACTGAAACGGGATCACGGCCGCATCTTCCTCACGAAAGAGCATCACTTCCTCACTGCAAGAAGCGAACTGTCCACATATGATACACGGGCCATTAAGACTATATCTGCACTGAAACCTTAAAAATGGTATAGAGAGAAGATACGCAAAAACCAGGTAGTAAAATCAATAGAGAGTACTGAAAGTACGCTGGGGAGTTGTATCAATACACACTACAGTTGTGGCCTACTTTCTCTCAAGAACCATCCAATAGATGGATTTCTTATTCCAGGTTTCTCAACAAGAAGACAACCTGCAGTAAACCTCTAAGAAAGCTTTTAAGGAGTTACATTTAGTAATACCTTGCAACGAGAGGCGAGCTTCCTGGATCTTATAAATAAATGGGCCAGATGTTAAACGTCACGTTTAACTAGTCTTCTGTTTCCGAGAAGATGCAGTTTTTAACTGACCAGAATACATAGAAGAACTGTAGAGAGCCAGTGCCTGCAATCAAGACAAACGGAGAACAATACATTTCCTAGTCCTTCAAGCCTGTTGTGGTTCAGTGGCTGTTTCGTTTTGGATCTGTAGTGTGCGTGCAGATACGCAATAATACTACATCAACCTCCGCAAAGAAAGATGCCCAGTGGTATCGTACAATCCCACGTTTTGGGAAAACGGTACACGTTTAGTCATAACTGTTTTAGTGTGAAGTTTAAGAAGCGTGGTCTGCATTATTCTCAAGACTAGAACAGCTCGTGTAGTGAAACAGCTGCAGTCATTATGTCTGGCATGAACAGGCTTTCGTATTTTTTTTTAAATTAATGGTTGGATTCTCCTTCAAGTTTTCAGCGAGGCAGTGAAGTTAACCCCTTCGTTGGGGGTCCTACCCTGATCAGACCCCACCCATCCACGAAAGAGTGAGAGCGAGAGAGGAGAGAAAGAGAGAGCAAAGTTAAGGCAACAGAGGTAATTGTTCACAAAGCTGATATCAGTTATGAGCTCAGTCCTTTCTCTCAGTCCATACCTTGGAAAGCACTTGTGCCAAAAGCACAGGGACTTTGTGGGGTTTTTTTCTAAAAAAAGAATAGCTCTATAACTGTGTCCGTGTCTTATAATTAAAAAAAAAAGGATTTAATGTACGAAAAGAGTCCTTCAATGGTTTTTTGCGCCGTAAAGTGCCATCTTTATAAAAGAAAGGATATCCTTCTAGAGAGATTAGCCCCTCCCTCCCACGTTTCTTGATTTAGGAATGAAGGATCTGTCTGGATGTCCAGGCCTTCCCGGCCAGCTTGGTAACAACAGACCCCGGCCTCAAGTCCTGGGGTGCAGTCCTTTCTCGGAGCCTATGTCCACTGTGATGTTGGTATACAGAGGCATGTACTCCTTCGACAGGACTCTGTACTCCATTGTGTTCATTCCATCCTGTTTCCACGTCCTCCTGGTCTTCGCCAAAAGGTTAAATCTGAAATGGAGAGCGGCACTTTAGTCCCTTTCCTTCTGTACACTGCAGCTCTCGTGGATTACAGCCCGGATTGCATTTTATGACATAAAAAAAACCTGCCTTAATTGTTGTGATGAGCTAGGAACGGCCTTATGAAATGGAAAAACCAACCATTCAGATAAGACTGCAGAAGGAGGTTTTGAGAGATAGTGGCAGAGGTGGTTCGATTTATATTACTTCATGATAATGATTTGATCTTTTTGGCATTTTGGTCTTTTTTTCTTCACCCTCCTTTCTCCCCAGCACTATACCCTTTGCCACAATGGAACAGACTTAATACGCCTGTATATTGTTTTGAGATGACTGATGG